TAGGCTTTTGCCTTGGTGTGGGGCCCCACTCCTTTCCAGCCTCTATGGCACCGATTTCTCCAAGCATAAGCGAGCTTCATCCAGCTTCGCTCGGACCATCCTTATAGCAACCTTTTAAGAACCGACAGGCACCTTATTATACCCAGTACTTTAGTGGGGACCACTCTTCCCCATTCTTGCCACTGATCAAAAAAAAATACTATGTTGTTTTTGCTTAATCAGTTTCTCACGCCTACATGTGGATTTACCACCTCTCCAAAAAGTTAAAAGCTGAAAGTCATACGTGTCTTTACAAGTTTGCCATCCTCTCCACCTTAGATACCGTGACGTTTTTCAACACCACAACTTTTATCTCCTATATATACTGATGGGTGTGGTGAAGTTTCAGAAGTCTTTCTTCCTTATCTTAAAAAAACACATGGAATGAACATCCTCATTTCACCTCACATTTTACCCACTCCCCCACACGTGTTGCACTTGAGCTGCATCTGACACGACGACATCGTTCATATGCTATTCAAACCGCTTTCAAACATCTAATAGTCTCAGGCATCTCTTCCCTCTTCAATTTTCGGAGTTTTGCTTGTATCCCAAGTATTATTCTACTATGCGATCACCAAGAAGTTACCCACCCCCCTAGTTTTAAATGGAAAATTCTGCCGACATCAGAGGCTTTTGTATATCCCCAAGAAATGCCCAAATCTAGCCTCCCTTCAATACCCTTGGGTCGCATCCTGTTGCTGTTATCGCGTGGCTCATTGCACCGAGCCCGACCCTCAACGTCCATTACAAAATAAACTAGAAGCCAGTCGGTCCGACACCATGTTATTAGGTTTTTCAACTACAATACTTATTGGTCATAAGTGGTTTGATGGATCCGATTCATCTAAAAAGTACTATAAGCCTCTCTCGGTTGCAGTTGCTTTTATCATTTTTTTGAGAATAATTCGTTTCCTTTAGTTAATATTTTCTCGTCGATTTAAATCAAAATCTTCGAGCGTTTGTAAAATGGCGAGAAGAGTGCTACTGAAAAAATAATTATGTCACATAAACACTACGGCTCTACCTCCACATCTACTTGAATATGCCTGCTGTCCTATCTTCGATGCCAGATTATGTATTTCCTGTTTTCTTTCGCAGTCGACCTACCAGCCCAATCAGATCCATATACTCTCTTATGATCACGGTACTTGCTTACGTCTTACTTACGTGAAAACTACACACAGCTCACAGCCCCTCAACTACCCGCCTCATCAACAATGATACACCAAACGGTTCAAAGTCATCAACCAGGCTCCACCTGGTGTTCTCCCTACCACTTTAACAAGATTTTCATCTATGCGTTTACCCGTGCTAAAAATACTATAATATCTAAGTAAAAACCCTTAAATTGGTCTTATTCCCCCTTCTTCACTTCGCCATTTCCTAGTATGATTCTCATAATCCTCCCTTCACTTAACCTAGTTAAAACAAGCACCCAAGAAATAATTCTTTCCACTGGTCAAATACAGGCAATGAAAGTAAGAATTTGATGCTTTACGTCTGACACTCGTAACCAGACTTGGGATCTTGTGCCTTGCTCAATCCTCTTACTCCTGAGAAAATATTTGTGTTGCATTGCACCTCACATGTTTCATACTCCGTTCATAAACCTACTTTATTAAATCCTTCCGGATTCGGCCGATTCCATTGTGATAGATTCTAAAGCCCGTGTCTAGTTGCCAAGGGCTTTACTCTCCACGAGGAACACAGGTACTTGAGATTTTTCATTCCCACTCTACTTCCAAGTCCTGTGATTTAAGCACCAAACAAACTGCTCGGCTCCTATCTGGTTCATTCTGCTTCTCTGGCCCCCACCACTCTCGAAAACTTGATTGCTGACCCTCCCTTCCATGCAATCTTAGCATGTACATCATAAGCACGTCATTCTTTCAAGGCTACAATCACTAGATGAAGATGCTGTATATGAGAGCAGCCACCGTGGGTTTTAACT